AACAGGATGTCCATCTGTTAGGGAGGCAGCAGTGGAGGTTTTGTGCACCGGGCAGGGAGTTGGAGCAGGTGATCTCTAAGGTCAAGGAGGTGATTTCTGAGGCCATGAACTCATGATCTGTGATTCTAACCTAGCCATTATGGTTTGTTAATTATGACTTTGAGCTTAATGTAATGTAAACCCAATAAAACAACGAACAATAATTAAACAAATCGTCTTTGCTTGAGTCAGGTTCACTAGAAAACAGTTTCTTGTGTTATGATTACCATGAAATTTGCAGTACTTTCCTTATCTTGAAACGTCTGTATAAGCTTGGCTTTAAATGTTGCACCCTGCATAGTTTAATACAGCTTATTAAACAAGCTATAATAAGCTGTGTTCACATTTCATGTTAAGCCATAAATGCTTCCTCTAAAAATAAATTCTGAAAAATGACAAAGACTGAATCTTGCTTTACTTTAGATAAGCATACAGAAGGTGCTATATTCCTGTCTGCTTTATACAACATGCTCAACCTGAACCACAAAGTTATAATTTAGTATTGCACAATATGTGTAATGAAATATGTATAAATTCCACACAATGTGAAGTACAAAGCATCATTTGAAGTGCTTTGCTTTCATGTGTATACATAACAGGGTTCTTTCAGTCTTTTTCCTGATCATACCGGGCATATCACAACCCATCATTCTTTCCCAACAGCTTAAAATGCTTCTCAAAAGTGCTCTGTTCCATTCCAAAGCAATGTTAAACTTTCCCTAACCATTAGCACTTTAAGTGTCACTATTACTACTATTCTGCCCCAAATCACTGTGTGTTCTTAAAGCATTATTGCATCCCATCAAAATGCCAAACAACAACCACATAAACCAAACCACCCCTTAATTGGAAACACTGGAGTCATCAAGTTTAATGTCCTTTCATTAAAATACAATAAAATACAATATTGACCCTGTCTCAACAGCCTCACTCCAAGGATTAATCTTACTTTGCATTGAAATAAAAGATTCAGGTCAGTTGCTTCCTTGATTTTTGTGGACTAAAGGAATGTGATTTGCTGCTTGCCCTGTCATTTTAGAGAAGGGACACTCTTAACTGTCCTGCAGGCTGGACTATCAAAGGTCAATAATGAAAGAAACATGATCCTTGACTGTAAACACCCTGATTGGATTAAGTATCATTAGGAGATTAGCACTGGTACAGAGATATCCCATCCTTCCCTCTTGCTTTAGGAATATGCATTTGGGGTAGAGTAAGGGAAAATGAAGAAATATGCACAATATAATCATTGCTCAAATGTTATGACTTGTATCACTGGGAATGTATGAATGCAACAGTGGCATTTCCACAATGCTCCCATATGCATGTTATCATTTACCTACTTTATTGGGATAATGCTCCCTCCTCCATGGTTAATTCTTGGTCTGAGTGGGCACACCATTTGTCATCTTTGACAGCCTGTGCTCTTTATATACATAGATGAGTCTCATAGCTTCTCAGTATCTGCAAAATTTAGTCTACCTCTATACACTGGTGGTTCATCCTGGTGATAACATTGATTAAAACCATACAACCTCATAGAGAATGGGGGAATCAGTGGCTACAATTTTGATGGCCATTTCTTTTCCGTAGAACTGTAGAAACTGTACTTTAAATAGCAGTTGCTTGAGAGGTACAAGCTATACTTTCCAAGCTTCCTGAATGTATCTGGTTGGCTACTGTGTGAGACAGGACAAGATGAGCTATTGGCCCATATTGCTTAGTCTTATTTGGGACTGTTGCAATTGGAAATACTAACAAGGTTGATACCAACACACTTGTTCAGTGCCAGGGAAAAAGATAAAAATAGTTCTCGACTTATGATCATTTTCTGTTTCTGAGTGAGACAGTTGCTAAGTGAGTCACACCTGATCTTGCGACCTTTTTGCCATGATTGCTAGGCTAATTGCTGCAGTTGTTAAGCAAATCCAGCTTCCCCCATCAACTTTGCTTATCAGAAGCCAAATGGGAAGGTCACAAATGGTGATCATGTCATCCTGGGACTGTGCAACCATTATAAATACATGCCGGTTGCCGAACACAAATAACAAATTTTATCACGTGACTGTGGGGATGTTGCAAAGGTCATAATTGCAAGGACCGGTCATAAGTCATTTTTTTAGTGCCACTGTAGTTTAAACCAGTCATTAAATGAATAGTTATAAGTCAAGGTCTACCCGTGCTCCCTATTCCCAAATGCCCCGAGTTAAATTCACTTAGTAATTTCACTTGCAATGATTGATCTTGAACCCCAGTAAAGGGGTAACTGGTATCCCCCGGAGCCTGTGCTGAAACTGTGCTCTTCAATCAAGAGAGTTTCTGCCTTAGTAATTGACCTGGGTATTACTTAGCTGCTAAGTAGGGAAGAGTATAAGTCAATTCCCATGGGAGACTCATTTCCCGGCCACCAGCATATTATGAAGCATAGCTCTATGCTGTTTTTCTGATACAGGTATTCATCGACTTACGACCACAATCAAGCCCAACATTTCTCTGCTAAGTGAGACAGTTAAGTGAACTTTGACCCATTTTACGACTTTTCTTGTAAAGTGAATCACTGCAGTTATTAACACAGTTGTTAAGTGAATCCGACTTCTCCATCGACTTTGCTTGTCAGAAGCCCACAAAAGGTGGTCACATGACCCTGGAACACTACAACCGTCATGAGTCAGTTGCCAAGCATCTTAGTTTTGATCACGTGACCATAGGGATGCTGCAATGGTCCTAAGTGTGAGAAATGGTCATAAGCCACTTTTTTCAGTGCTGTTGTAACTTCGAATGGTCAATAGATGAACTGTTGTAAGTCGAGGACTACCTATACTCACAAATTAATGGAGAGTCTTTTTTGTGACATAGAATTTAAGAGGATGTACATCACCCTTCCCCAGCTGGTGTCCTCCAAATGTGTTGGGTCTACCATGCCCAAAATGAAGCTAGCAGATGTCCAAGGTTGTAATGCACAATGGTTTCTACAAATTAGTTTGCTTGAGTATACTCTCCTACCAAATTAAAGACAGAAAGAAGATTACTTTCCTATCACTGCATAGGGCATTTTCAGACAACCAGCTTTTTTGTTTGCCAACCTTTCTGAATCAAGTTGAAAATGCATCTAGGATTGATCTGGACTGGCTTAACTTTTTCAGGTCTATTATAAGCACGTTTAGGTTTATCTGTCTGCCAGTCTACAGTGCTTGCAAGGAACTACCAGTCAATCAGTATAAGCCCTTTCTAGTTAATAGCCGAGCATAGATAAATGTTAAGCATTCACAACTTGCTTGGCTGGCCAGAAACCCGAGTACTTCAGCCTGCCCTCTTGGTCCATTCCTAAGTACATGTCTCTTTCCCTTTTCACAAAACTAGAATTGCTAGCATTTCTGCACATTTCTGCATTTGCCATGACCTGCTTCAAAAATCTCCCAGACTGGTAGTTTTCCATTGTTTTCAACTGCAAGACTTAGGTTAGGATCTCATGTAAGCAAGGAGAGATTTTAGAAAAAGAAAGTGCTTCCTTGATTAGTTCAAATTAGCTTTAGATGTGCAGCTTTAAATCACTTTGCTTGGATTTTAAATATCCATCTAACTGAACGCTATTCAGTGTTTTTGCCTCTCCAGAAGCTCTCAGTATTTGGGATGTTTCTGGTAAGAAAGAAATCCTGCCTGCTCAACCTCCCACCCCATTTCATTTCGGTGACTTTATAAATAGTTGTTTTTCATTCACTATTATTATATTTATCTCCTGCTTTGGCTTGGGGAGCTTAGGATAACTCTCCCTTCTCCCTTTTTTCTGTACAACTACTGTACTCTGTGAAGCATGTTGGACTAGTTTGAAATCATTGAGCTTGTATGGCTGAGGGTGCCTAATCTACCATTCTAGTCTACCATCCTAACCTGGCTCTGTGTGATGCTGGTTACTTTCTCATGTTCTCTGATGTTGATTGAAAAGCAGACTACTTATGAAAGGTAACTTTAACCATCAGTAGTTATGGCCATAAAGAGATGGGTAGCATATAAATGTAATAAATGTATTACATTTATATTTAATTAATAAGAAATGGAAGATTAATTCCACAGACATTTCATATAGTAACTAACCATTTTTCTAAACTATGGGCTCTGCAGAGAACCAGATTCAAAGGAGAAAATGTGATTCAGAGAGTGCATGCAGCAGCTTCTAGGAACTCATTAAAGCAGCTGCATCTTTTCCTGAGCTCAAACAATTGTCCTCTGCATTGACTACAGGAAAAGCTACGTTAGGTTTCAGCCCTTGTTAACAATGTCTCTTCCAATGCAGACTCAGGAATGCATTTTGTTATTTGAATCCAGATCATTGCACAATCCTAATACACTCTGTTTTCAGCTATTCAAAATGCTTCAGCCCTTGCAACAGCCCTGCAAAGTGGAAGATAGCTGTATTCACAGCAGAACAGTATGATTCTCAATAGTTTCAGAGGAGCCCAAAAACTAAGTGAATTTAGGTGATGTCTCAGTTCAAACAGGGCATTTGGTGCACCATGTTTGTCCAACATGTAGCTATTACACAAGTTTACACAGGCACAAGGTAAAGCTTGTAAATAAACATCCCTGATACATTGGCACTGTGTTCAATAATCAACTCTTGTGTGTGTGGCTTCAGTCCTATCTGCAATTTATGTGAGCCCTGTCTAAGAGTCTTCTGCCAAGTCTGAAGCACTGGGAGACCACTGATCTATTGTTGAGCCCTGCTCAGGAAATCCATAAAATATGTCAGTGTAATTCACTTCTTCCCAGGCAGAATTCTGGGCGTTGAAGTCCATACATTTTAAACTTGTCAAGATTAGTAAACACTCCCATATAGGTCATATCATTTCCTCTTTCTCATCTTTTCTACAAGATATATGTACCATATTCTATTAATATCTCCTTAGAACTTGGAAAACCTATCAAAACCATTTAGGTAAGAATAAAAAGAGATACAAAAGTGATACCACTGTGGGAGTTTATTAGAGATTACTCAGGCGGGCAAATGATACAGATGAGGTTTTTTTCCTGCATCACATGACCAGAACTTGAAAAAGACATACAATAGTGATAATGGGGAAATTCAATTACCTTGATATCAGCTAGAAATCTTGAAATAGAGTACAAATAAATCTTGCCTGTTCTTACTGACAACTTCATTTGTAGGAAGGTGAAAGAAAGGACAAAGGGTTCTGCTAGCCTGGACCTAATCAAGGGGAATTGATTGAAGAAATGAGAGTGACTGGCACCTTGGGGAAAAATGATGGTAGCTATTTATTTATATTAATTTAGAGCATTTATTTGGCTGCCCAACTCAGACAGCATGACTCTAGGTGGTGTTCAAGAGATCATCAAACCTAAAAAAAGGAAGTACCAATCAAAACCCACCCAATGTTATCATCTGATGTATGATATCCAGAGGAGCAACTGAGAAGACTTGCCTATTGAATTTCAGAAGAGTAGATCCTGAAGAATTCCAACAGAAGGGTAGAGTGGACTTGGCTCCATTCGCTTCAAATCCTTAAGCAAAAAAACATTCCAGAAGGATGGAAAATCCTATAAAATGACTCACTGAAGGCACAGTTACAAACAATCCACACAAAAAAGGCAATTGAAAGAAATTAAACAGGTCAGTATGAATTTGTAAAAGCTAAACACACACACACACACACACACACACACTAGTGGGGTGCACTAACAAAAGCATTAGACTCCAGATCATAGGAATGGCTCATTGTTCTACTTTACTCTGCCTTTGTCAGATCTATTTAGAAGTATTGTTTCCTCTTCTGACAACCGATGTTAAAAATGTACACTGACAAATTATAGTAAATTCAAAGAAGAGCCACTAAGATGGGAGTCGGGAGACCAAGCCTCAGGAGGACCACCTAAGGAGTCAGGGTATATTTATTTATTTATGAGAGTTATATACTGCTTTAAGTGCAAGCACTCTCTAAGCGGTGTACACCAGTAAGCAATGTATATATATATTTACATTGCCCCCAACAATCTGGGTCCTCATTTTACCTACCACTGAAGGGAGAACCGAGAGGAGATACGGTTGTGGTTTATAAGACTTCCACACAGAAGAAGGACTAGATATAAATCTTTATTGCACCAAAGTATAGAGCCAGTGGACTAAAAATAAAAGCTGGACATGAGGACTGATTTTGACCTCCAGTGCAATAGGTTGTTACATGATGTAATGTGTCCTTTTCACTAGAAAGCTTCAGACAACAATGGATGGTCATCTACCAGAGAAGCCATTATGGATTCTGTAGTGAGAAAAGGAATTGGATTAGGTAATCTCGAAGGTCCCTTCTAGTTTTTGACATTTTGATGTCTGATGCCTCTGTGTAATCTTTGGAGGGGCAAGGCAGGGGCCACTGAAGATTGGCCATGCCACTCTTGGTGGAGGATCAGGAATGTTTGGTTTCTCTTCTCTTGAATTAGGTTTTTTTGAGGACTTACATAGCCTTCTCCTGGCACTGACTTTTGTTTCCTTTCTCTGACTGTCCTCAGTGGCCTCCTTTTAACCTATATTTGTTTGTCTGAATCTGACAGTGTGGTATTTATAGGCTTCTCTCTGACCATTGCAGAGCAAGTTGGAATTATAATTCTACTGAGGCAGCCAAAACTCATGTTTGCTTTTTGCAGAGATATCAGGCTGACTCTTATTCAGTTTGGATCAACTCTAGAGATTACTCACATGACCAACCATGCCAACTAGACTATCATCTGCATTAGCTAAGCCAGCACAAAATCACCCCAAATGGGGTAGTGTTGAATAAGAAGCTATTGATTTAATTGCAATGGTTGCCTGTCCAGCCAGTGTGCAAGGATTTATACTTCATGCTGGTGCCCTCTAATCAATCTTCAACTCCTAAATGTTTCACAGCCATCAGCACAAAAAGACCTGACCTTGTGGAATAGGACAGAAGAAGAAAAGCTACAGATCTCTCTTGCTAAGAAGAGGATCCTTTTAATTTCTTGCAGAGAAACTGGTAGCCACTTCAAACCAGGTGGCTTAATCCACAAACTGGCCCCCAGAGAAGACCAAGATCCTGCCTTGTTGATTTCCCCCCCTCCATTCTGTTTGCTTCTTCTGTTTTTGTTACAGCTATAATGAGGAATGCAACTGGCAAAGTGACCTTGGTGCTTTTATAGTGATTAAAGAGCATTCAAAGCACTTCAAGCTGGAAGGGACCACAAGAATCCCTTCTGACAAGAATCGAATCTTCTATCCGGTGCATTTCACAAGTAATATTAGACAAAAAGTAGATTGTTCTTCAGAACAGGTAGTGCTTTGTTATCCTTATAAGCAGCTGGAAGAGAGAAGTAGCTAGGCCGCCTCTGGAGTTGTGAGTGAATGGATTTCTCCAATTGAGACCCAGGATCGCTCACCTCCTTGCTGGGTCTCCTATCCATCAAGCTAGAGTTCCCCTCTCAGTTCAGGCACACAGAACTGCAAAACCAAGAAAGCCACAGTCAAAAAAGAGTTCTTTCCTCGTTTCCCTTCCTCCCCTTCCTTTGCATATTAAAACTGCCACCTTCTCTATCCCTACTTGAAGAAACACCCCGTAAACTGCCGGCCGACCCCGACAGGTGACCCCAAAGGTAACTGCCTCCTCCTCCTCCACCATCTTCATCGCACTTTGGCCTGTGGAAACTTCGGCATACAGCAATACACTTCCAACCGCCCGCCACCGAAAACGCCGGGTAGCGTGTGCGCGGCTTGGGAAAACCGCAGGTCGTATCCCCTGCGCCCTTCGAGCAAGTTTCTTTCCTCCTACGGCTGAGGAGGAAGGGGAAAGGCCAGGCCAAAGCAACGCTGAGGGGCCTGACTCACCAGGAGCAACGTCCCAGCAGAGACTGCCCCCACCCTAAGAAGGCGCGCTTTCGCCTCGTGGGTTCTCTTTCTCGAGCCCCAAACGTCAACCGGCGGTCCCTTTCGAAGTAGCGACAAAGCGAGCGGGCAAGCGCAGGAAATGCTTCGCCCTGTGTCTTCCCGGGCAGACGCGAGGCGATGCCCAGGTAAAGTTTCCCTGAAGCGGCCTGGCACAGACGGAAGAGAAAAGTAGGAGCGCGAGCCGGACGGTTTAGTTGCCGCCGCCGCCACCATCAACATCACCACCCTCCTCTTCCTCCCCCCCCCGCGTCGCCATTGGTGTCCAGGCGCCGCTTCAGCGCGTCCAGCTAGGGCGCTTGTCGCCGAGTGGCGACGCGTCTGCCCGGCACGGGTGCTTTTATCTGAAGCCAGGCGGAGCGAGGGCCGGCCCAAGCGGGCGGACGCTCCTCCGCCCGCCCGCCCCTCGATATCCCGCCCTTCCCCGGCGGGCGGCGCTGGACGCTTCCAGTCTCCACCACTCGGGCGCGCTTCTGACTGCGGAGGAGTTGCCGGCGCCGGCGCCGCCGCGGGAAAGCTTCATGCGGCAGCGAGGCGAGCGGCTTTCGGTCAGGCAGGAGCGGCAACCTCCTTTTCTCGCTTTTCCACCAGCGGCAGCGGCGCCGGGGATGGAGCTGGCTGCGGCGGGCTGCGAACCTTGGCCGAGGGGCGTCGGAGCAGCCCAGGCACGGGCGGGGAGCGTCCGGGCGTTGCTGCGTTGCTGCCGCTGCTGCCTCCGCCTTCGTTAAAGCAGCGCCTGGCCGAGGCTCCATCGCTCCTCCTGTGCCGCTCGTGACGGCGATGTGAACGGCGGCAGATAGGAAGGAGGTGGAGGCGCTCCAAGTCCGCGGCGGAATCAGAACCGCGGCCGGGGAGAGCGGGCGGCATCGCCGATAGCGACAGGAGCCGATCGTGCTCGTGTGTGAGCGCGTCTGGATTTGATGCAACCGGGAGAGCGGAGAAACCACCGACGGTGTGGGGCAAGGTCACGCCCGGCCAGATTTCACTTCCCGCCGCCGCCCCCGAAGCTTTCCATGGGGCGGGCGACGCGGCTTGAGCGCTCGAACCGAGCCGGGCGCTTCGGGCCCGACCCCAACATTGCTGACCGGCGCCTCTTACCTCTAGGATGCGGCGGCGGCTGCTGCTAAGCGAAGCACTGGAGCAGGGACGTGGAAGGCGGCCGTGGGAGAAGGAGCTCCCCGGGCGGTCGGATTCCCCGGGAGGTAGCAGGTAAGTGCCGGCGGCGGCGGCTTCGTTTTGCTTTCTGCATTGCAGCCCCAGCGCAGCTGCCGGCGGGAGGGGAGGGCAGGGCTGGGCTGGGTGGGTCGGCGGAACGGCGAGAGGTACGGAAAGGCTGCGAGGAGGGCTCTTCCAAGGTGGTGGCGTCTTTTTTGGCGCAATGAGAGCGGAGGTGAGGACGAAGTGAAGTGCTTTCCCTCCCCGTCCTCCAAGACGCGTCGGGGGAGCGAGAGGCGCCCCTGGCCCCGCCAGGTGTGGCCGCTGCGTCTTAAACGGTTTTCCGACCGGGCCGCGGGCAGGGAAGACGGCCGAGAAAGTGTCGTCAGCGCCGACGTTCAGCCATCTGCCCTGTTATTTTTTGGCCCGGTAAAAGAGGCGAAGAGAACCTTTTGTGGACAAGTCCCTCCCCGCGCCGTCTACACGGAGGGGGGCGTCAAGATCCCGCACCCCCTCCCCACTTTAAACGGGTCTGGAGTTTTCTTGCTACTTCGGCTTTGGCAGACTGGGGGAGCTCCAGGGCCGGCTTTGGAGAGGTTGGCTGTGCCGGCGTTAGACGGGGAGTCCCCACGGAGGGCAAGCACATAAAACTACGCTTTTCTTACTCGGTCTCTCTCCCCGCCTCTAGCGCGCAAATCCGGCGGGCGCGGGCCTTGGGATTCGCCTGTGTGTGAGGTTCCTTTTGGGAGGGGCCGGGGCCGGGGCTGTCGGTTGGGGATTTGTCTGACGACCCCCGGGTCACTTCCCCCCCCCATTTTCGTGGGGAGCCCGCATCGCTTTTCTTTTTGCCTGCGTAGATTTTTCTCCGCAGCCAAGATGGGTGTGGGTGTAGAGCCTCGCTTTCGGATGGCTGCCCCTTCGGCCCTTAAAACTCCCGTGGGATAAGTTAGCCTAGGCCAGAGGGCTCGGCTTCCTCTCCTCTTCTCCCTCGCCCCCCCCCCGATGCCTTTGGAAAGCTGGTGGAGAGGGCAGCAGGAAGTTCTCGAGGGGCTGCGGAGGGGACCAGTTTGGATGGACTCCCCGGAGGAAGTGCCCAATGAAAGACCTTGCGAGGAAGGCAAGGTGGAGCCCCAGGTGGGAGAGCAGGAAGAGCTATAGACTCAATCCAGGCAGGACTCTGGGGGACCAGGAGCCCAGGTGTGGGGAGAAGGAATGGGGGTGTCTCTTACAGAGAAAGAGGAAGGGTAAATTCTGCCTTTTGGGCCCAGAGAAAGAAGAGGAAAATCCAGTAGGAAGTTTCAGGTTGCAGTCCTTTGTTGTGTTTGATCTTTCAGCTTGGCCCACCTTTAAGCACTTTTGCTGCTGCAGTTCATGTCCATCTGTGTGACCTGGGGTTTCATTAAATAGCTTGTCTCCTGTTTTTCATAATACATTTCATAATACATAATTTAAGGTACTTTAGGATTTCCCTTGTGTAAGGAGCATTTTTTTAAAAATAATAATAATTATCCATTCACTTGGATTCTAGGCCTTTGGTACCTACAGCAGGGAACCGAAAGGAGCAGACTAGGCTGGATGAGTGGAATGGTTGTGGGATCTCTCCAGAACTGAAGGCTGAGATGTGATCTGATTTCTTTGGAGAGGGCTGCTTTAATGGGATTGGGATGTAGAAGGAAACAGAAGGCAAGTTGGAGCTTTTTCCAAGCTAAGTAAAACCTCTCCAGCTTTGATTGGTGATACTGTGGACATTGGACATTATACTCAACTTTGGAAACAGCCTGCTCCAATCTAGTTCTTCTTGGAAGGGAAAGTACGTTGTCTGACACTGTTTTTTTCTTGATACTGGTCTAGATTCAGCTTCTCCAGTGCCAGGCACCTCCCTTTCTAAGACAATTTATTTCATCTGACTATTTACCAGCAGGTGCAACCTTTGGCATGGCTTTGCTAATGTAAATATAAAGGGGTAGCTTTGCTTAGATGTGGTAGATCATTTCTGCAAACCCCAGTTATCTTGCTTTCCACTTGCAGAATAGTCATAAACATGTTGGCTTTCCTTATAAGGCTGGGTTGAATACTGTTGATATAATAGATGGTACATCTTATAGCTGTTTTTATTTGAGGAGCTTCCAAGTAACTGCAAAAGAAAAATATATATCCAAAATCTTGTGTAACCAAGGAAAACTTCAAAAGAAGAGTCTAGATGTTCGTTTTTATAGATGAGGCTGTAGTGACCTTTATAGATATAATAACTCTCCCCTGGAAATCAATATTTATTCTGTTTGAGAGTTTGGTAACAGGGCTGTTTTCATAGGAACATCTTTGGGATGTGATCAGAGTAAGATATTCTGCCCTGAAAATCGTTAGTAGAGCTTTGTGATTAGAAGACGTTTGGACCTGAGTTCAAGATGCAGGATTGGCCAGTGAACTGCATAGCCTCATGAGTGGTATATGTAGTCCTCGACTTACAACAGTTTGTTTAGCGACCATTTGAAGTTAAAACTACTGAAAAAACTAACATAACCATTTTTCACACTTATGATCATTGCAACATCCCCATGGACACGTGATCAAAATTCGGGCACTTGGCAACTGGTTCATGTGTATGACAGTTACAGGCTCCTGGGGTCACGTGATCACCTTTTGCGACCTTCTGACATGCAAAGTCAATGGGAAAGCCAGATTCACTTAACAACCATGTTACTAACTGAACCCTTGATAGATAGATGGATGGATGGATGGATGGACGGACAGACAGATAACCTTTATTTTGGTTTTTACTGTGGGCACAGTGGCACACATTAAAAATGAAATGTAGTTGCTTGCTCTCAAAGTGTACACAAACACAACACACATTTAAACATACTATATACAACATATGTATAGACCTACACCCTTACATATGTAACATAAAAATATTAATCACTGTCCATCTTGAATACATAACGGAAGGAGGAAGCTTTAGAGTTCACAGGGGTAATACTACAGGGATTCACTTAACAACTGTGGCAAGAGAGGTAGTTAAATGGGGCAAAATTCACTTAACAAATGTCTCACTCAGCAACAAAAAAAATTTTGTGGTCATAAGTCGAGGACTACCTATATTTAAGGGTTTCTCACTCTACTGCATGGAAGGCCTTTTGATCAGATGTGACAGAAATTAGCAGATTGCTGCAAGCCAGCCTTTTCAAGGTGACCCACCTCTGACTTGCTTGAATTGCAAAGGAAAGAGTGATTGGCATTGCAAATCTGTCCTGGGTTTAGTTCCTTGGAGATATTTGGGTTGAAGAGAGCTTTTTTTCTGAAATGTACTACTAATTCCTGTTGAAAATGCTCCCATTTCCCAAGGAAACAGATAATGACTTTACTCTTGGATATGAGGATCTTATTGGAAAAGTGTTCCCTTCCTTTTAGAAAAGCACGAAGAAAGGAGTTGACTTCCAACAAGTGATTTTAGCCCAAGGTACCTGTGGGTTAGAATAAGGATTATTTTTTGCAGCTTGTGCTTCCTGTGTCTTAGATGTCCTTGTACCTGAATTAGGTAACATTTTAGATGAAGGCAACAGAATTTACAAGATGGACTTGCCTCTTGCCTGTACAATTGCAATAGGCAGCCTAACTGTAAAAGCATCAAATAAAAGAACAAAAGGATTTAATCAGGATGTGACAAAATGATGTGTGTGTGCGTATATGTGTGTGTGCTTGTGTGCATGCATAATTGAAAGTAGGCAATTTTCTAGACTTCTGATTTTCTCTCCTGCAATTTGAGTCACACATGAGCAATTGTAGTGCCCAGTTTTACAGATTGGGAAGTGCAATGATACTCCACCAACACAGATTTTTGTTTTTTTGCCTGCATCCTTCTGACAAATATTAAGGACAAATTGATTTAAATTAAAGCCTCCCTGAAGTGCAGCTTGGTTCCTTGTGACCATGTGACAGTCATGTTGGGTTTTTGAAGGCCATATTCTGGAAGTGGTTTGCCAGTGTGACCTTCTGGCTTTTTATATATATATAAAATCTACACCCTTGGGATTTTCTGGTAGGGTGTTGAACCCTAGTTTTTGCTAGGTGTTGCCACCTGCTACTTCAACCTCTGAAAATCTCTACAGCTTGAAGATGTTTCTTCAATCCTTCCATGCGTACCCATCCTAGCTTTCCTTTGTTAATAAGACTGTGTTGGATATGGACATGGAATTGGACAGAGATACTCAGGTATTGGATATTTTCTTCTTCAGAGTCCACATTCCCCAGGGAGTGCTAGAGCAGTGTTTCTCAACCTGTGGGTCGGGACCCCATTTGGGGTCAAATGACCATTTCACGGGGGTCGCCAAACAACGCAGTCCGCCACTTTTTCCCCCTTTTCCTTAGCTGTGCTATTCCCTTTTATTCTATTGGCTTTTGAAAGCCAATAGAATAGACCCTCTTGAATAGAGTCTAATTCTATTGGCTTTCAAAAGCCAATAGGAATTGTCCAGGCTGTCTCTGCCCTGCTGAGCCTGCCAAAAGTCCCATTCTGCAAACGGTGCTGCAAGTTGTCTGCAGCGAAGGCGAGCTGTCTGGAAGTTTCCACCCCTCCCTGCTGAGCAACTACTAAAAAAGGGCCAGGGGTGGGAGGCCAGTGGGCACAGGGAGGGTTGCTGGCGTGCGTGGGGCCCAGCGGGTGCCTTACCTCCCTTGGGCTGGGCCAGCCGGTGGCCCAGCCGGTGGTTGGCCTGCGCTGTCTCTGCCGCTTTCCAGCTACGCCTCGGCTGGCACAGGGGGCGGCACCACGCATGCACGGCACTCCCGGGCAGGGAAAGTCCTTGACTTATGACTAGTTGGGTAGTCCTCGACTTACAACCGGTTGGGGGGTCGCGGCATTAAAAAGGTTGAGAACCACTGTGCTAGAGAATCTTGGGCCAATTCAAATTCTGTAGCCTTGCTCGAGAATGGTTAAAATTAAATGCCTGGATTCCTATAACATGCTTAGTTCTAAGCCTGGCTTAAGAAAACATGGTTCCTGTGCTCACGTAACATGCTGTGACCAAAGAAATAAGCTGTAGTATGAATGAATG